TTTCTTTCCCCCCCCCCCCCCCCCCCCCCCCCCCCCGACTGATAACCCGTAAAGTAAGAAAGTCCCAAAAACATGAAATAAGCTGACGCTTCGCCTAACACTTCAGATTTCATTACTGGCTGTATACCACGTACAGCTTTGGCTATGTTGGGTATAAATCTGCGTGGAAAGGACGCTTTGAAGCAGCGCTGAGAGCATGCTGCAAGACCCTGCAAGCGTGTCGTGTCTGAAAGCCACCGCTCTTGGGATCATGTGGTGACACAAATCTCACTTTTCTTTAAAGCAAGGTGCAGGTTTAGCTCTCCTAGGTGTGAAGACCAGCCTGGAAAATTTAGAGAAGCTAGACAGAGCAGCTGAACAGAAACAGTAATTATTACTAGAAACAGCGCTGAGAGCATGCTGCAAGACCCTGCAAGCGTGTCGTGTCTGAAAGCCACCGCTCTTGGGATCATGTGGTGACACAAATCTCACTTTTCTTTAAAGCAAGGTGCAGGTTTAGCTCTCCTAGGTGTGAAGACCAGCCTGGAAAATTTAGAGAAGCTAGACAGAGCAGCTGAACAGAAACAGTAATTATTACTAGAAACAGGAATTGCTACTAATCATATCACCCCTACTGTCATATTAACGTTGCTTAATTTGTACTCAGTGATTAATGTGACGTTTTTTTTAACCGCACATATTTTGGAGGCTCAAGATTTCCATGTACACAAGGGGGGGGGAGGCCCACCGCCAAGGCGGCTGTGTCTGGTGATGCCGCGGTGAGGAAAGGGAAGGAGCGGCGGACGTAGGGGACGTTTCGCCTTGCCGCCTTGCTGCACGGGGGTGGCCTGGCAGGCAGAAAGGTGGCGATTCGGTAGCCGCCCGGCATCCTGCCCCGGAAGTGGCAGCCTGCCCACGGGGGGGGGCGGGAGGTCTTCACCCCGCTTCGGTGGCAGCCCGGTGTGAGTCACGGCCCTGTGGCAATTTTAGCAGCAACTGCAGACTGCCTTCAACCGCGCTTTTCCCAATATTGGCATTTGGGGTTTTTATTTCTGAATCCTGCACTTAAAAGAGTCCTTGGGTGTGGAGGCCGTTTCACCATAATAGCTTACTTCTGTTTTGCTGCTCTCGCTTGGGAGCTACATTAAGCCATCCCGCGTGCCTCAGGCTCGCTTTCCTCGGAGGAAATGTGTCGCGGTGTCCTGGCCACCTCCTGAAGCCCATATAAGCCCCTAGTGAGCCTCAGCCTCTACTCAGAGGTTTAAGCACTGACCTCCAAAACTGTGTGCCCAGCATACTGAACTCCACCGTTCCTTGCTACCGAACGTGTAACTCAACCTACAACCACTTTTCCAGCGGCAAGGAGACATGGAGAAACCGGGTAATTTTATCGCATGCATCACTTGGGGGATATGGCTCAGCAACAAATTCCAGCCTGAAGCCCTTTTGTAACACGCACAAAGGTCTCGCTACTCCTCTTCCTCAGTGAGAAAGAGCAGAGTGAAGACTGCTGTGACAGTAAGACTGTGAAATTTTAACTTGGCAATATTAGAGAGCGGGTAAGCATCTGGGATTTCAGACTGTCTGGTATCCCACTGTTTAAATCAGCTCCCATCTCTATCCATCTGTTATCCCTAGTCATGTACTTGAAATGTAGGCTCCTTGGGACAGGGGCTGTCAGTTCCGCGCGGGGCTGTGCGGCGCCCAGCTGTGCAGTGCCCAGCTTTCCCACCGCAGCACAAACAGCTGCCTCCCTGCAGGCGGGCGAGAGCAGGCACTGCTGCAGACCCCTGCCACGGGTCAAGAAGCTACACTTCACACGTTCTAGTTTTGGGAAGTATTAGTAAAAAAAAAATGGTCTTTTTGCATGTGTACCGAAAAACTAGTAATTTGTTCATTCTTTTTGTTACGTGGTGGTTGAAGGTGTATTTTTAGTTCTTGATTATAAAGTAAATTCATTATAGCTAATTTATTTGCTTTTTAGTTTGTGAAATATTAAGCCTGTCAGTTAACCTCTCTGCCTATTTGAAAGATTAAAATGCAGTTCACCACAGCTTTAATATTGGTGCAACAACCAGAAGTTTCTCAATTCCCCATTAAATCATGTGTCATTCACGCTTAAAGAGCAACAAAACAGCAGCTCTCCCCCCTCGCAGAGGCCTGAGTAAACAGATGGGCCTTGCTATGTGCCCTGCTAATGGTTTCACAAGGGTTAATGTAACAGTGCTTCTGTCTTAACTACACAGATGCTTCCCAAGGTTGCAGGCAGGAAAGCAAATGTCTCTCACTGTTGGTGTTTGGAGCATTCATCTGCTGTCATCCTTCTCTGTCACGCGTCTTGGGCCAGTCCCTGTGTCTGGTTTGGATAAGATGAGCACCATATTTTGTGAGTAAGGCATGCAGATCTGGTCACTTGCTAGCAGGTTGCCAATCTGATATGATAAATCCATTATTCATCAATAGTATTTTTTGTAATTTGCAAAATGGCCTTTTTTTTTTTTTTTTTTTTTAAGCAGGACGATATTGCAGTGACTCTGCTTTTTTATTACATTACGTCCCCCAACACCAGCTGCTTTACAGCCTGCTCTGGACAAATGAACTGGGGCTGACAGGGGAAGGCAGCATGTCTCCAGTTTCTTAAAGGGATTCATAGCCCAGTTGCTTATCTGTGCTACTCTTTCCAAGCCCAGATTGCAACTGTTCGAGTTGATTTTTCTCATGATTGCATCATCTCAATCTCATCTTTATTTGAGATGAGATTAACTAGGAGTTAATTGGCATGATGCAATTAGAGGTTCTGTTTGTAGAATAACGTATTTTTGTTCAAAAAATACTCATTGCCAAAGGAAATTAAAAAAACAAAACACCTCTGTCTGATTTCCAGTAGTGCCAAATCAAAAAAAAACCACTGCCCCTTTGCATGTCTTCAGATGCTCTGTGGGTTAGTTTATGAGTTTTGTGCCAGTATGGAGTACTAGCAAAGACGTGAGTTCCCTTCCTCTGCTTGCGGCCTTGTGTGGAGTTCGTTGCTGTGGCAAGGACCAGACTACCAGCTCTCCAGAAGTGCACATTTTTTCATTTGTTATAATTTTCCAGCGATAAAAGTGATTTGATTGGAGAAGGAGATTCAGACCAATTGTTTGCTGATTCCCCGCTTGCTTGCTTGCTTGCTTGCTTGCTTGCTTGCTTGCTTGCTTGCTTGCTTGCTTGCTTGCTTGCTTGCTTGCTTTTTATTTCCCCTTTTATTTCCCCTTGCAGACCAGGTTTTCAAAGGGACACCAGGTTAGTTTGCATGGGTAGTCTGGCAACGCACAGCTCAGTGTGGACCAGGATCATGGTTCCACAGTCATGGACGCAGCACCGTGCATTCTCCTATCACCCCGCAGCAAAGACTTACAAAACAGTCATAAACCCACACCCACACCCCTGTCAAGCTGGCGGAGGA